AGCTGTGGAGAATTAATAAGTGATGAGTCCAACAGTGTGAATTGCTGTTAGTTAGCATTGCTGCAGCGCCACTTTCATTTGCATGGCAGCACCAAGAACAAACCCACTTACTTACGCCATTTCCTCTCCTGCTCTGTTGGTCTTTTTCCTGCTTTCAGTCATCGTTTGATCTATTCTCAACTTTGCACTTGTTTCTTGTTTAGTCAACATAATTTTTCTCTCATTTAGTTTTCTGACTGATCTCCTCTTTTGTGCAGCATCATTATCGTTTTTTTCACATTTGCATGAGCACCTTTGCTTCTATTTGATAATGACATATTGAAAATATTAGCCGTGCACACAGGAGGAATACTTAGTGTCCCTTCCTCTCAACATTCAGGAAGATGGATGCCCTCTCTCTAAGGGAAACTTTGTGGAAGACAAGTGATACTCCAGGGCTCCATAATCCTTTCTTCATCGCTCCACTCCTTCCATTCCTGTCTCCCCGTCTCGTTATTTTCATATGTGTGCCTGTGGATTTCCTGTGAAGATCCAGCTGAAGCTTCTGCACTTGGCTTGACTTCCTGCCTCGGGCTGATCAGCCGAACCAATTCCATTTACTTACAGACCCCCCTTGAAAGAAGTGGAAGAGGGGTTCAGAGTAAATGGGGCAAAAGTCAGAGACAGAAAGGGATAGAGGGCAGGAAGAAGACTGGAGGGTGTGAGAGATGGATGTTGGCCAATGAAAAGAGAAAAAGGAAATAATTGTTTGAAAATAAGAAGGAAGTAAGGGGATTGTGCGACTCCCATGGGTGTGGGATGAACTTCAAAATGCTCACCCTGCCTCCTACAGCAGAAAAATACAGATATAAAAAAAATCAGACACCAAAACACTAACACACACTCAATAGCAACAGCAAACTCCTAGAGGCATGGGCAGACTAGACAAGAATGGATCTCTCCCACGAGGAGAGAGATGGAGAAAGACGTCGAATTGTTTTTACCCGTGTACGGCTCTCAGGCCTGTAGGCCCCTCATCACTCTCACTCCCTCTTCTGTCGCTCCCAACGGCATGTTTCTCTTTATCTCCCCATCTCTCCCTCCATCAATCTCCATCTGCCATCCTCCTCCCTGTCGGGCCAGGCTCTTCCTCTTCACTACTGTCTCCCTTCATCCCTGCCTGAACCCTCTCCACTGTTTTAGGTGTGTCTCATCTCCACAGACAGCAGGAGGACGAGCGGTGACAAAGAATTAAACACTGGCAGGGTAAAAGGTGGGGAATAAAAGGAAGATGAGAAAGAGCAGAAAAAAGAAAGACAAATACCGAATTAAACATTTTACATTAGGTTATATTGACTGATTGATTCATAAAATAAACTCGACGTATATTTATTTATCACCGCAGTTTTGGTCAGCTGTTGCTCCTTTAATTATCACAAAATCGGAGCTGCCATGAAATTCAGTCTAAAATCTGACTGGATGAAAACTTTATGATCTGGATGTTTAAAATTCTCATGCACTATTTAAAATGCAGCAATCTTAAGACAGAGGACAGACAGAAATCTGAAGATTTTGGTCCCCAAAACAGGATTCTGTCTCCTTTTAGAGCTGCAGGTGTTCTGTACCAAAACTGCTTTTTCCACATCGAGATGTTTTCATCCAGTCTGTGGTTTAGTGGGTCCCTTAAAACGCCATGTTTACTGTGTATATATATGTGATATCTCATTATCCAAAATAGATTTGTCTAAAATAGAACAGGAAAAACAGGAAACAGGAATAGAAAATAGGATTGAATTAGTAAAAAATAATGTATAATGACATCAGAGACCATGGTTACTTGATTACATGTTGATCATATCTTCAAATGGAATAACTGGTTCCACAGAAACCCCACTAGAGTAACTTGATTTGACCACTCTTCAGTGCAGAATATCATTACTGAATTTCAAAGTGAGCTACTCCTCTTCATTTTGTTGTCATTAATGGTGACTAACTATTATTTATTTTGATCTTGGAAGGATGAAAACAGAGAAATGACAGAAAAATGGAGTTAGTTTCCATCAGATCCTCTGCTGACAACCTTCTTTTCATTAATGCCCCCCTCCTCTGCTTTTCTTTGTCTTCATTCTTAACAGTTTCTGAGTTTCTTACTCTCCCCCCGCCCTCATCACCCCCTCCTGCTCTGTCTTTCTCTCTGCTGGCATGTTGTGACAGGGTGTAGCAGTGTGTTATACAGGGTTCCACTCGCCAAGTGCATATTATCCTGTAAGGCATAATACTCAGGTTGGAACAAAAGGCAGGCTCTGAAATTACAGCTTACGCCTCTTAGCACTCAGCACAACAGTCTGACTCACATGAAAACATGTGTGTGTGAACTTTATGATTGCCAGTGCACTGGCTGACACTCGTATGTGTGTCGGCGTATTCCAAACGATATGAAATCTCTATAAGGAAAAATATGTGCAACGTTCACACCAAAGCTGAGTTTTACTCTTCATTCAGATGAGACATTTACAGCAAGCGTGTCCAAGCATTTGGTGTAAATTCGTCTTTTCCCACTTCTGGAAAGCCAACTTCAGGAAACTGTTAAAAATTTCAAATTAATGATCAATTTTAACTTTTTCCTTCTATTACAGTGTAGCTAAATAAATAAACAATTTAATCATGAAAACATGTGCTCTTAATCATCTCAAGGTATCTTATTTGTTGGTAAATATGTGAAGCTAATAATTAGCAAATGGACTAGTTTCAATGGATACTATGCAGTTTTGGCTTGCTTTTAGCAACCCCTAGTGTCCAGTTAGTAAAACCAAAAGTGAAGCTTATCTCCTCGATGTGCGCTCAACTTTTTAACACCTCAATCCAACAGCTAAAATGTCTCCTCAGCCTTCATTACTTTCTACAGGAGCGGTTCACCACTAAATCAAACAAACCAGTTGTGTTCATGATTTAAAACATGCAGGAAACATGCAGACTGTAGCGCCAGCAGGTCATTTCCATTTGATTATATTCAATAGGAGTCGGCCCTCCACTCTGAAGTTGCAAGTGTGGTATTTTGGCCACAGACGTAGAGATAGCACATATTGGCTCAAAAAAAATTAAATATGAAAAAGCTGCATAGTACAGATTTATATTCTAAAAGTCTTAATAGAAGATTTCATTGATGCATTTGGTCTGCCACCTTTCCCAACAGAGTTTTATTCTGAGGCGATCCTATGTTGAGATATAATTCAACATTATTGATTGGCAATTCTGCTTGTCCCAGTTATTAAGAACAAATCTGGGAAGGTGACCAGTATGGATAATTATAGGCCACTTGCACTAGCCAGTGTTTTCATCTAAAGTTTTAGAAAGAGTCATATTTGATAGAATTACTGTGTACCTCAGTTCCTTGGAAAATCAGTTTGGCTCTAAGCCAAAATATGATACTGACATGTGTATATACACACTTAAAGAAATGGTAAACTGGTAGAAATAGAAACTCTTCTGTCCTTGTGTGTGAGTGTGTGTGTGTGTGTGTGTGTGTGTGTGTGTGTGTGTGTGTGTGTGTGTGTGTGTGTGTGTGTGTGTGTGTGTGTGTGTGTGTGTGTGTGCGTGCTTGTAAAATGGCTCATTTTTCCAACTGAGAAACTCACTGAGCGTGCAGGGGGGTGGGGGGTGCCGTGTGTGTTGTCAATCGTTGCCTCGCTGCTACTCTCGGTCCACGAGGCGATGCCTCCTTTAGACGCATTTTTAGAACAGGACTTGTGACTGAACCATGAAGTCTTTTCTATTTTAATAATTCTCCTTTGGACAAAGCTTTGTAGGCATTTAAATGCATTGAATGTTGTTGCTCACTATATGGCACAAGCTGGGTTTGGTGCCTCTTGCTCTTACACACACAGTTTGTTCCTGACACATATTTAGGCTTTTTTTGTCGATCCAAACAGGAATGACCAAAAGGAGCTGAGAAATGTTTCACCAGCACTTCCTTAAAATTATATTTCAGGAAGCTGAAAATAAACTTTCTGAGCAGCGGCTTTAGCTGAATTCACACCAGCTTTAGCATCTAACATCCTGTGTGTTTCAGAATAAAAGTGCTCACCTATTGCATGTGATTGTGTGCATGTAATACGCAGGAGACATGTTTCCAGACTCCAACTACTCATGTGCACCTGTGTTTTTGTTGAGGTCTCAGCAGAGACACTAGCATATTTGCAGCAACAAATAACAGCTAGCATGTTTTCAGTCCTCCACACACGTACACACACTTAGACATTTATGACCCCAGGAAGAATAGCAACTGTTTTAACAGTGGCTAATGGGGATCTTAATAAACAAACAAACAAACAAACACACAGCCGTGTGTTAACACAACCAAACTATGTGCAATCTCCTTCATACTCTGAATTTTACACTGGCTGAAATAACTCTTTGGGGTACGCAGTACAAAAGAGAAATGGAAACGCCAAAATTTCCTCATTTGTCTTTCTTTCACTTTCCTTCTTCTCTTTTGCAAACACACTTAAAAATGTAAAAAGTTGGTAAATTTAATGCAAAAAGACCTGCCACGTCTCTAAATCAAGCTACTCTGAAGTACAGACAAATACCTTTTGAATGCCTAAAATAACTCCTTTTTTCTTTTCTTTTTGATTTTTCCTCATCTGACTTTCTCTACTACATATGTCTCGCTCCACGGATGAGTCAGAGTCTGTTGAAGCCTACCAGAAGTGAATTTAAATGTTAAGTTAGGGCATTCTAAAAGGCTTTTCTTCTGAAATTAATGATTTACTAGGAAAGCATTGCAGCTATACTTTGAAAAAGTGGCCGAGTCATACATTCGTTTTTTTGATCCGCTGCTACAAACAAGCATGCTGAAAGTAAATGTAATGTGATATTTTCTTATTAAAAGAAAAAAGTGTTGTAAACAATCCTGAAAATAATGATTAGACTGATTTGTATATATTCAAAAAGTAACAAGCTCAAATGTTACATCTTAGAAGAAATAAAGAAGACTGCATTCATCCTTTTCTCCTCCACAGGAAATCGTTTCTTCCTGACCTCATTTGGCGCTTTATATATCTCAGAAGTGCAGAAAGAAGATGCTCTGTCCACATATCGCTGCATCACAAAGCACAAGTACAGTGGAGAGACCCGTCAGAGCAACGGGGCCAGGCTCTCTGTTATGGGTAAGCAAATAGTCCATGTACGCTGCAATAAAAAGAAAAGTCAAGTCAAGTGTATTGAATCAAACACACTCGACCACCTCCAGACCCTACGGAGTCCACTCCGACCGTGCTGGACAGTTTCCAGTCTGGTGAGGTGCAGGTGGGGCACAGCGTGGAGCTGCCCTGCATCGCATCTGGATACCCAAACCCTGCCATCCGATGGTTAAAGGACGGCCGGCCGCTGCCAGCAGATTCCCGCTGGACTCGCCGCACCACCGGCCTCACCGTCTCCGACCTAAGAGTCGAGGACAGCGGCAATTACATCTGTGAGGTCACTAACAGCTTTGGCTCCAAAGAGGTGATGGGTCATCTCAATATTATAGGTGGGTCAGTCATCACTGGGTGTTTTACATGTGTCTCCTGACTTCTGTCACTCCTTACAGGTGACTGTAGGGGAAAGAAATGAGACAAATAGTAATCATGAATGAAAAATGTGAGTATGAACAGGTATGAGAGTGAGTTAGGAGAAGAGGTTTGGGAAAATAAATGGAATTTATAGAAGAGTGAGGTTGGTGGACACTGGGTAGACTGGCTGTAAGGCATGTCATCGTGCAACCCCCAAACCTGCAGTGACAGGATGCGTAAGGTCTCTCTCTCTCTCTCTCTCTCTCTCTCTCTCTCTCTCTCTCTCTCTCTCTCTCTCTCTCTCTCTCTCTCTCTCTCTCTCTCTCTCTCTCTCTCTCTCACACACACACACACACACACACACACACACACACACACACACACACACACACACACACACACACACACAGACAAATCTGGACACACATACTCTACAAGGAGTCGCCACCCATGAAGGAATACTGACACATGCAGATGCAGTGACACACACACACACACACACATGCTTGCTCACATTCAACAGCCTCTAGCTCCTAACACCAGCTGCTTTATTGCTCACTGACATTTTCTCCCCTCTCTGTCTTTCCGACTTGGTTTTCTTTGCTGCCGCTCAGCACACACACTTAGTTCCACACGAGCATACAAAGGGCCGACAGACAGGAATCAAGGCTGAGAAATAAATAACGATACCTTGTTTTATCCAGCGACACAGATAATGTCCATTTTAGCCCCAAATGCTGACATTTATCATCTTTTAGTGTTTAGGTTCTTAATTCTTTATTTATTGAGATTATCGATTTCTACTTCTTCACTCTGATTACCTGCATTATTATTTTTTTTTTCCAGAGCCACTTCGGGTCACTTTGTCTCCAAAGAACCTGAAGACAGGAATCAGCAGTACGGTCATCCTCTCCTGCGCCGTCCAAGGTTCCCCCCACTTTACCGTGTCCTGGTACCGTAACACAGAACCCGTCATGCCAGATCAGCACTTTTCCATCCAGGGAGCTCACAATGAGACACTGTTTATTTCTGCTGCACAAAAAAGACACTCTGGAGCTTACCAGTGCTTTGCCTCGAGAAAGGGCCAAACAGCCCAGGACTTCTCCATCATACTGCTAGAAGGTGAACAATCACTTATTATCATGTTAATGTGTGTTTAAGAATGTTGAAGGCACGAGGACTGCTGATGAAGTCGGTTGCACTAATGCATTAGGGCAAGGGCTTGTTTTTTATGCTGAATCAAACAATGATTCCACATGGTTTGCAGCACATATGTCCAAGAAAAACTGGTTGCCATGCGTCTGCTTCATGTGTGAAATTGCCTTGCAGCTGCATAGAAATCTGTTCACATAGAAAACTAAAAACTCCTTAAAAATCATAATTAGTGTCTAACATTTTTTGCTGATCTGTTTGAAATGCCTCAGTGTTCTCCAGGATTGAGTTATTTTACATAATGACATTACAGTGTATACGTTAGCATAATGTCAGCCTGGTTGCTTCTTTAAACCATCACAAATAAAAAGTGAGCAGCTGGTTTGCTTTATTTGATCATTTTCCCCAAAAAGGGAAAGAGTGCGTCAAATTATGAGATTTGCAAAAGAAAGTGATATTAAAATTCACTGAACAGACTTTATTTTGTGTTTGTGTCTTAGATGGTACGCCCCGTATTGTTGCATCCTTCAGTGAAAGGGTAGTGGTTCCTGGCGAGCCGTTTTCCCTGATGTGTGCTGCGAAAGGAGCCCCTCCACCCACCATCACCTGGACTCTGGACGACGAGCCCGTGGCCCGGGACCTTTCACGGGTCAGATCCAGCCAGTACACGCTCTCTGATGGGAGCACGGTGAGCTACGTGAACGTCAGCAGCCCGCAGATTCGTGATGGAGGAGTGTATCGGTGCGCAGCACGAAACTCGGCCGGTAGTGCCGAGTACCAAGCGCGCATAAACGTAAGAGGTGCCTGTCTACTTTTCAATATCAGTCATTCAGAGGCTTCTCATAGCCTGACCCCCCCTCCTCTTACCCTGCCCAATATCCCTCCTGTGACCTACTGTGGACCTCTATTTCTATATGTTTGTTTATCCATCTCTATTTTATTTATTTTCACCATCTTAATAGATGTGCCTTGTTTTTGTTTTTTTCCTGTAGTTTGAAGTTTTCAGTCTATTGGTCTATTTATCTTTTTCTGTGAGCACAACTCTTTATTTCATCATTTTTTTATTCATGTGAATATGTGCAAATGTCAATTTACAACAGTAAAGAAAATGAAAAAAACTAGGGCTGGGGGTAAACGATTATTTTTAAAACGATTATTCTGACGATTATTTTATCGAATAGTCGACTACTCTAATGACTATTTATACAATTAATCTAATGATTATTTTTCTATTGCACAGCTAATAAAAACCAAAAAATCTCTAATAAATTCCTCCCAAAAATTGATAAATTGTTACTGTAAGAGAATAAACACTACAGGCCTTCCATTTTGTATAACACTGCTTTTATTGTGTTGCGGTTGGTTATGTTCTGGTGACGTGTAGAACTTGGGAGTGCAGGCTGCTGCCTGAGAGGTGGTTGGAGACGGACTGTCTCCATGCTGCTTTGTTTTGGTCACTTATGTGCGTGAGGCGAGTGGTGTTACGACCCTTCCTGGGGAGTTTGGCTCGTGTGCAAAAAAGAAGGGACAGTAATGTGGGATTTAAAAGTTAAAATGATGATCAGGTTTATTTACAACTACAAAAAAAAACAAATCTTTTCATCCACAGGTTGGGAATAATAAAACTAATTCTGCCTGTGGGGAATTAAAACAAAAGTACAAATAAGTAGGGGTGTCCCGCTGGGCAAAGATTACAGGGTTTTGGACCAAAATAAGAATCTCCAAAGTTCCAAACTCTAAAATATCACCTTGAGTTTGGTTTAACCACCCAGTTTAAACTAAACCGAAAACCCACAACACTCTAAATGTAATAAAAGGGAGATCTGCACCACAAAAAAGATGAACTCTAAACCAAAACGTAACAGCTTATCCAAACGCAAGAAGCTGTTAGCGAAGATGCTAACAGTAGCTTTATCAGCATTAAGTTCAAGTTACCAAGTTTAAATAAACCAAAAATACCAGCAGCAAACAGACCAGCGCGGAGGAGAGACTGCTACCACCAAAACAGCTCTCCTAATGTCTGAAAGAAGCTCCTTTATGAAGGGAGAAACGCTCCCGGTGATGTTCTACATCTGCGGTAGAGACGAAGCAGCGCATTTGACCCCGGAAGTTGTTCGTTGCCGGGAGACGAAGGCGGGCAAAACACGAAAGGAACCTAGTAGCGGACGGACGTGGTTCTGGGTCTTCGGTATTTGGTGGAGATGTTAGTGAAGGCGGAGAAGAGGGCGAACTAGAGGAAAAACAGGCAGATTCCACCTCTATTTACAAACTCCTGGGGATGCAACAAGTGGGCGTGGTAGGGTCGACTACCGGATCTGACGTCGACGAATTTTTAGAATCGAGCCGTCGATGTCATCGATGTGTCGCTACAGCCCAAAAAAAAACACATCCATCCATTTTCTTCTATTTATGCGGGGTCGGGTCGCAGGGCAGCTGTCTAAGTCGTGAGGCCCAACTCCTCTGGAGGAATCCCAAGGCATTTCGTTTTTAGCTGAGAGACATAGTCCCTCCACCGTGTCCTGGGTCTTCCTTTGGGTCTTCTCCCAGTGCAACACATGCTCATGTGCCTGGAAAACGTCACCAGGGAGGCATCCTATTCAGAAGCCTGAGCCACCTTAACTGGCTCCTCTTGATGAGGAGGAGCAGCGGATGTACTCCGAGCTTCTCACCCTTTCTCTCAGGAAGATTCCAGACACCCTGCAGAGAAAAATTATTTTGGCCGCTTGCATCCACATCTCATTCTTTTGGTGACTACCCAAAGCTCGTGACCATAGGTGAGGGTTGGAAACTAAATCGACCAGTAAACCGAGAGCTTTGCCTTCTGGATCAGCTCTGTCTTCACCACAACGAATCGGTACAATGTCCACATCACTGCAGATGCAGCACCAATCCAACTATCTCCCGATCCATTTTCCCTCACTCGTGAACAAGACCCCAAGATACTTAAACCCCACCATTTGAAGCAGGACCTCATCCCACTTCCGACTCAAGACCATGGTCTCGGAATTAGAGGAGCTAGTTCTTTACGTTTAAAAATAAAGTGTAGTGAGAAATGTGGCCAAAAACCGCAGGTCAAAGGATGACCAGACAAAATGAAGAAAGAAGAATGGCATCAAGAGGAGTTCCTTGTGTCTGTGAAGAGGCTGATGGAAAACTGTGGTGACAGAACTGGTGATGTCACTGTCGTCTGAGGTGATGAGGATGGGAAGTGACACCAACGGACAGAGCTGTATCACCGTCTCAGTGTCTCCTTCTCAGCTTCTCTCAGTCCCTTTTCTTGGCCATTTGGTGAGATGTGTAGTTTTGACAAATGGGTCTGCTCTGAGCAAACATGTCAGAATGATCATTGAAGTGAGAATGAGCCCCACTGCCAGAGAAATTCAGGCCCTACATGCAACACAAACTGTCACTAATACTGCCAACACACACACACACATTTATAACCACTCTAAAAGAGAAATAAACCCATATGCTTATACTCTCAATAAAATGCGAGTCATTCACCTCATCTCATTCACTGAGGGGCCGCCAGCAAGTTCACCGAGTCACACAGACATAGGTGAACACACACATTTATACCGTGTCTGCGTCAACACATGTGAGAGTGTGTGTGATGGTGCTACTGAATAATACATCTTTGACTCGTCAGAGCTGTGACTTCAAAGCTCGGCACATGCTGAGAGAGGGAAAGGAGAGCTGTGGGGGCAGGAAGAAACAAAAACAAAGATGCAAAGATATGAACAATGGTGAGAAGGTCAGAGAGAAGTGATGGACGACTGAAGGATGGCTTCCTTCAACTGCACTGTCATCCAGATTTTGGTTGTCAAATGTTGGAAAATAAGCAATGCAGTTACTGGGATCGTAACAATCTGATTAGCCGTTCTGCAGGAATATTTTAGTATTTTCATACCTGCTCTTTGAAAAAACTCAATTTGGAGAAACAAAGATCAGACTGGTGAGCTTGTTCAAAAACGGTCATGGCTGATTAAACAAACATGACTTAGAGCTGAGATGTAGAAAATATATTTTAGTTATTTTTTATTTAACCCTTAATTTGGCAAAATAAATACAACTAAACTGAATCACCACTTTCACTTCCTACACGTTCTTTTCATTTCCAGTTCGGTCCGTCCCCCTCCCTCCCCAAATTCCTTCCTGGAAACCTTCCCATTTTATTCCTAAAATTCCATGATCTGTTTCTGACACCATCAACTAATGATTATCTTTTCCCCCCACTTTTCTGCCTTTGACCACATCTCTCTTTCTTTGTCCTTCTTTCTGCATCTCTCTCTCTCTTTCTCTTTCTCCAAATCAGGCCCTCCAAGGATACGACCTATGAAGAACATCACTGCAGTTGCAGGAAGAAACACTTTTATAAACTGCCGTGTAATTGGGTACCCTTATTACTCAATTAACTGGTACAAGGAGGGACTTCTGCTGCCTGACAACCATCGCCAGGTGGAGTCCCATTCTCTCTCAAGACTGAACAGATACACACTCGCACACAAAAACACGCACACGTATACATATACATGCATGCCAGTTTGCCAGTTTTTTTATGGATTAATTCCTCCATAAGGTCAATTTTCCTTATTAAAAAATAATAATAACACATGGACACCATCACATGTAAAAAACATTTTGCCCATGTTACATTTAGGTAAAACCTGTTAAAAACATGAAATGTGTGAAAAATACGTGACCACTTGTGTTGTGCACACACTTCCCAGGTGAATGTTGAACATTTCGCTAGGGATAAAATGTGAAACTTGATGAACGTTTGCATGTGAAGCCCTTTATATCACATGCACCACACCGCACCACGCACCTGGTAACGTATGTGTGAACATGTTGACATGTCCATCACATCATCCTTTGAGAAGGAGCTCTGCAAGATGTGGTCTTTCAATAGGCCGACCTTCATGAAGTTGAAACGGTAACAAAGCATGACTTTGTCACTTCGATTTTGTTTTGATCAGAAGCCTTTTGGTAATATTCAGTCATTTTAACTTTGCCTTTCATGTTCGCCTCTAAATCACTGCTTTACAATGAAACTCTGCAGCACTGAAGCTAAAAAAAATTCCAAGGACACACAAGAGAAGCCACAGAAGAAATTAGAAATTCTATTTAATGATGTAATGTATGTTTGCACCTTGCCACCAAAACATATTCCTAGTAGATGAGCCTCTCATCTACATGGCAATAAATTTGATTCTGGTTCAGATTCGATGTAAATAAAAAGCTCTGTCTCATGATTAAATGTATATGCTTTAACGATAGTAATACATGACTCCTGTATGTTCAGGTGGTGTTTGAGAATGGGACACTGAAGCTCAGCGATGTTCAGAAAGGCATGGATGAGGGTGCCTATGTCTGCAGTGTGCTGATCCAACCACAGCTCTTCATCACACAGACCGTTTACGTCACTGTCAAAGGTCGGAAACTGAGTTCATGTCCATACACACCATACCTGGCTTTTACACATGTTTTTATCCCTGAGATGTCTAAATCACACCTGCTTGTTTGTCTTTTTACTACATCCAGGGACTAGCCCTCATTTGTACACAAGGTACCGTTCATTCAACATCTCTGTCCTGTTTTGTCTTCATTCAAAGCTTTCTTGACAACGTTTGAGGTCAAAGCTTCAGCACAATGGCTGGTTTTGGTAGAGTTTAACTCTGACTAATGTAGGAGCTGTAAAGTGCTAAACAACATACTTGTGAATGGTGAGACAATTCCTTTAAAGGCGTCTTGGAGTTTGTTTAGGCAGCCATATTGAGAAATTATATTTTTACGCGCGACGGTGGCACAGGAGTTTAGTGCTCGCCCCGTAATCGGAAGGTTGCAGGTTCGAGCCCCGCTCAGTTTGTTGCTGTCGTTGTGTCCTTGGGCAAGACACTTAGCCCACCTTGCCTGCTGGTGGTGGTCGGAGGGATCTGTGGCGCCAGTGCTCGGCAGCCTCGCCTCTGTCAGTGCGCCCCAGGGCAGCTGTGGCTACATCGTAGCTCATCACCACCAGTGTGTGAATGTGTGTGTGAACGGGTGAATGACTGATTGTGTTGTAAAGTGCCTTGGGGGGTTCCAGGACTCTAGAAGGCGCTATATGAAACACAGGCCATTTATCATGAAAGAGCCCTGCATAGTAGGATCCCTTTGAGGATTCTACTGTTTAACCTGATTAATGATGGATGAAAGCATGCAATCACTATCTAGATGTAACTAGCCCGTTACCTTGGTGATGCAAATGATAACTCTGCCACCATTTCTGAGGATGGGGTAGGTGGTGTCTGAATTGGGTTTTGGTTGAGGACTGGAGGAAGATTCCTCTCACACCCAGTCAGCAAGCATAGGTGGGCCCCATATGGGCAAACCGTATGAGTGCCAACAGGGTTTGCCCACATAGATTATACCTGGCCCAAGTATGAGTCAAACTATCTGGGTCCCTCTGAAAACCCATGTAGGGCCTGTTTAAATCTATGTGGGTAAACCCTTGTGGAGCCATCATGGTAACCACACCCAAACCCTGTTGGAACCCATATGGTTTGTCTAAATGTATCCATATGAGGTTCACCTATGCACCGTAGCTGGGACAGCCATCCAAAATGTAAATGACTATGCTAGTTAAAATAATATATAACACACGTGCTTGTTAACAGTGTTCGATGGGTTCAGTCCGATTGTGAACTCTAGAGCTTGGTAGGGCTTGAAAAGCCTTCAGTTTTTTGGGGTTCAGTTGAGGTGACTCTCGTTACCAAAAGGTTCTCGTCTTCTTACCTCTTACAGCCATTGTGTGTATTTTTATGAAATCTTTACAATTTCTGACATTGTCAGTCTCCCTATAAAGTCTGTGCTTCTCCTGCACAGAATCCCAATTCAGGCCATTCTTGGGTTAAGGGTTTTGTTTTTTCTTTAAAAGTCTTGGATACCAGATTGGGTGTGTTAAGGATGTAATTCTGTCAACAGCAAATACCATAAAAGAAAAATGAAAAGGTGTACATGTTCTAAACATCTTAGTTTAGCTGTTGAAAAAAGCAGTGATTGGCAATGCTTTAAAGGAGTGTTAGTGAAACAGAAAGAGAAGAAAGAACAAAGTTGCATGCATTACCTCTAATAACCCCTGATTAAGGAGCGGAGTGGCCAAGTGCAGCCTCTCAACCACTCAGCAATTACATAGAGCTGGAGTGCTACTGTATAAGTTTATGAGGGTGCATGCTCTGCTCATGCATGGTGTGAATGAAACGTGCGTGTGTTTGTGTGTCTGAGTGTGCATGCATGCATGCATGCGTGTGTGTGTGTGTGTGTGTGTGTGTGTGTGTGTGTGTGTGTGTGTGTGTGTGTGTGTGTGTGTGTGTGTGTGTGTGTGTGTGTGTGTGTGTGTGTGTGTGTGTGTGTGTGTATGTGTGTATTGTAAATGTTTGAGTGTAATGTCTCACCCGGTTCTCAGCTGCAGCAGAACAAGATGTTTGTTCCAGGAAGTCACAAGTGTGGGTTGTGCATCTGGACGTGTGTGTGTGTGACATTGTCAGAAACATGTACATTTTGTCCGTCCTCTTCATACCATAGTGTCCCTCTCTGCATACATCTGCACATGCATGATCACGTATGTGAAGAAGAAGAAGAAGAAGAAGAAGAAGAAGAAGAAGAAGAAGAAGAAGAAGAAGAAGAAGAAGAAAATATCATTTCTATAGCGCCTCTCAAGATAAAAATCACGAGGCGCTTCACAAAAACAAAAAATGTAAAAATATAAAAAAGAATTTAGAAAATGGTTCAAAATATATTTAAAATGAGCAAAAAATAGACAATTGTGATTAAATCAAATGTTAAGAAAGAAAGAGTGAATGGGAAAGAGGGAAATCAGTGGATCCAGAGGAAAGTGGTGGGGAGAGCTGAATAAAGAGAGAGTGGTGAAGAAGGTCATACAAAAGCCAACTTGAACAAGTGAGTCCAGCTGCTTTTTAAAGGAGTCCACTGAGCTCACTGATCTCAGGCTCAGGGGGAGAGAATTCCAGAGTCTGGGGGCCACAGCAGCAAATGATCTGTCACCTTTGGTCTTTAGCCTGGTGCGCTGCACAACCAGTAGCCTTTGATCACTGGACCTCAGGGGCCTGCTGGGTGTGTCGGATCTAAGAAGATCACAAATGTAAGATGGTGCTTGTCCACGTAAGGCCCTATAGACCAGAACCAGGATCTTGAAATGAACGCTGAAGTTGACTGGCAGCCAGTGAAGCTGGAGGAGAAGCGGGGTGATGTGGGTGTGTTTGGAGGACTTGGTCAGAAGCTGAGTACAGGCATTCTGAACCACCTGTAGACGGTTCAGGGAGGTTTTGCTCAGACACGTGAAAAGAGAGTTACAGTATTCTAAGTGTGAGGAGATGATGGTGTGGAGAACTGTCTCAAGTTCAGAGTGGGACAAAATGGGACTCAGCTTTGCAATGTTCCTGAGATGGAAGAAGGAAGAGTGAACAAGAGAACTGACATGAGAATCCAGGGTGAGAGCTGGGTCAAAGGTCACGCCAAGATTCCTGACAGAAGGTTAGGTGTGAGAAGCAAGCTGACCAAGAGAGTATCTGACTTTTGGAACCAGCTTGTCTGTAGCACAGATGAGGATCTCAGTCTTATCTTCATTCAGCTGTAGAAAGCTCCCAGCCATCAAGGTTTTGATAGAGTCTAAGCAGGTGTGTAACAGCTGCAGCTTAGACATCTCATGGGGCTTAAAGGAGATGTACAGTTGGATGTCATCTGCATAAAGATGGTAGGAGATTCCTTTGAAGGCGCTCAGGATGTGCTGAAGAGGAAGCAGATAGAGGAGGAAGAGCAGAGGCCCCAGCACAGAACCTTGTGGGTTACCATGGGTAAGAGAGGTGGTGGAGGACCTAAACTTGGAGACGGCCACAGAAAAGGAGTGCTCAGAAAGGTTAGAGGAAAACCACTCCAGAGAAGTTCCTGATAGGCCTACCCAGTCTCTCAGCCTCTCCAGTAGCACGTGATGGTCAACAGTGTCAAAGGCTGCAGTCAGGTCCAGCAGGACCAGAACAGAACAGACCCCTGCATCACTGTGAGTCAGAAGGTCATTAGAGACCCTAAGAAGAGCTGTTTCAGTAGAATGAGCTCTACGAAAACCTGACTGGAAGCTATCATAGATGTTATGTTCATCAAGAGCAGCTGTGAGTTGTTTAGCCACAACCTTTTCCAAGATCTTGGAGATGAACGGAAGTTTAGAGATGGGTCTGAAGCTGTTATGGAGAGAGGCGTCAAGACTTGGTTTTTTAAGAAGCGGGTGGATTACAGCATTCTTAAAGTAAGCAGGGACCTCACCAGAAACCAGAGAAGCATTAATAATAGAGAGCACCCTGGGACAGATGGACTGAAAAGCACTTTTAAACAAAGATGAGGGTAAGATGTCGAGGGGGCATGCAGAGGTCTTCATAGAGTTAACTAGTTTGGTTAACTCAGGCAAAGAAACAGGAGCAAAGCTATCTAGGATGATGGGCCTGGTTGGAGTCGAGAGAGGCAGTGATAAGGCTGAAGGAGAGATGCTAGATCTAACCTTATTGACTTTGTCCACAAAGAAAGACAGAAAGTTCTCACAGGCTGCAACAGAGTGGATGGAGGCTGTAGGAGAGGCAGGAGAGACGATACTGCTGATGGTGTTAAACAACACCTTGGGGTTCCCTTTGCTCTGGGACACCAGGTTGGAAAAATAGGAAACCCTAGCGTCTCTGACTGTGGAGTTAAAGGATGTCAGAAGATCCTTTAGGTGCAGCAGATGGACGTGGATATGGGTTTTCTTCCACAAGCGCTCGAGTTTTCTGGATTGGCGCTTTAGGCTGCAAAGGTTGTCATTAAACCAGGGAGTAGGGTTCACTGCAAGAACTGATCTGGTTCTGACAGGACAGATATTGTCCAGAACGGAGAGGCAGTGCTCGTTAAACTAAGAAGTTAAGGAATCTGGGTCGTTATCAGAAGAACAGGGTGGATCAGAAAAATTGCTAGAAAACGAGAACTAACCATACGGCGAGCAGGAGGTGGGGACGCAGAAACTGAAAAGTTAAAGAAAATGCAATGATGATCTGAAATATAAATGTCCTCAGGACAAACACTGTCAGCATTTAGACTCAGGGAAAAAACAAGGTCTAGAGTGTGCCCCCTGGTGTGTGTAGGGCCAGAAACATGCTGGGTAAAGCTGAAGGAGTCCATAAGGCTGGAGAAATTCATGACAAAGTGATCAGAGGGATCATCAACGTGGATGTTAAAATCACCAACAATCACCAGTCTGGACAGCTTCACAGTGGAGGATAGAAAGTCACCAAACTCCTGAAGGAAGGAACTGTTTGGACCAGGTGGACAATAGACCACAGCACAGTTGAACGGGTCCTTACACCCGACTTTAATCAGCTGCAGTTCAAAGGAAGCAAAGTGACCAGAGGTTGTAGAGCTACATGGAAGATGTTCTCTGAAAACAACAGCTAGGCCTCCACCACGACCAGAACCCCGGGGCTGGCTAAGAAAAGAATAACCACTCGGGCAGAGTTCAATCAGACCAGAATAATCAGATGTTTGCTGCCAAACTTCAGTCAGAAACAGAAAATCCAGGTTTTTAGAGAGAATTAGATCATTGAGCAGGAAAGACTTATTGTTAACAGAGCAGAAATTTAATAGAGCCATGCAGAGTGAGGTGGAGGAATCAGAAACTACAGAAACAGCTGGAGTGGACGTAAATTAGCAGGGTTAGATCCATGGTGTTTATAAAAACCACTTATGGAGGGAACAGGAGGAGAAACCACTGAGGAATGAGGATAAGCCAACCTGAAAAAACTTGGATGGAGAAACCGCACCGCAACGCGGCCTGGCGGGAATGCAGAAGTGGCGCTCAAGTCGCCAAACAAAGGACAAGAAGCTAGAAGATCACGCCGATGTTTACTAGATAAACCACGCTTTAAGAGAAGTCTTATTCTCGCCTGGATTCCTGCTCGTTTACCTCTTTTCCTCCGACGTTTTCCCGGGGCCGGATGAACATCGCTGGAGGCGCCCTGGTTGGAATCGTCATTTGGCTCAGGTGAAGTGCGCCACTCAGATAAACAAACAGGATGGTAAATCCTCGGTGCATCTTGGGCGATCGTGAACGAATGAAAGGACAAAAGAGTCTAGTGATCATAGGAGATGGTAGCAGGGACACTACTGAAGAGGATCGCAGACAGGAGCAAGGTGGAAAAGAGGAGGTTAGTGGAGAAAAGTTTGAAAAAGTGGCCGGCGACTGCAGCTAAGCCAAGCACAGGCGCCATCTTGTTACCGACTGGAAGCGGAAGTGATGTGGATGTAAGAGTGTGTGCCCATCACGTTTCTTGTTTAATTAGATGAATGTGAACGACGCCCAGATTAAATCTCTCAGATGTCTCAGTCAAAGACCACACCCCCAATCCCCCCACAACAGCCTTCCCACTCTAAAACTATCTCCATCACCTCAGCAGGTATCCATAGAAACACTGTTCATTCCCCTATGGATAGGGCTCTAATTAGGGCAGCTATTATGGGCTGGCTTTGGCAGGGTGGGGTGGGGTGGAGTGCAGGGGTCTGTAAAGGGCGTGGGTGGCTGCAGAGCAGGTAATGGGATTCATCGGTGCTGAGGTGCATGTTGTCCATGGAGTAGAAGATAGACTCAGGAAACCATGTTTTTGATCCCTTGAAGTCACGTAGAATGGTGTTGCAAAAGTTTGGAAGTCAGAATGTCATCTGAAAATAGTCTCTCTCTCTCTCTCTGTCTCTCTCTGTCTCTCTCTGTCTCTCTCTCTCTCTCTCTCTCTCTCTCTCTCTCTCTCTCTTTCTCTCTCTTTCTCTGTCTCTCTCTCTCTCGCTCTTAAAAAAGAAAAATTCAATACTCTATGCTTCTTTTCCTGTTTTCCCATTTCCACTACTTCCTCTCCCTATCAATCCCCCTGAATTGTCAAAACGATCTCTCTACTTTTTTGTCCTTCACATAAGCATATATTTCTCCTTTTTTTTTTTTTTTTGCTTTTTACATTTTTCACACCCAGACAATTAAAATTTTTAATATTTTTATCCTCTATTCATTTTCTGCCCTCAGTTCCCCCACTGATCCAACCATTCGACTTCCCCCCAACTTCCATCGGTAAGCTGATGTACATCGCCTGCGTGGTGTCTTCTGGAGACATGCCCATACGTATCACATGGCGTAAGGACGGCCAGGAGATTGTGCCCTCTTCAGGCATCACTATCGACACGAAGGAGTTCATGAGCTCTCTGCAGATCTCCAAAGTGTCACTCAAACACAACGGCAATTACACCTGCATCGCAAGTAACGATGCAGCTACTGTCAGCACAGAGAGGCAGCTCACGGTCACGGGTAAGAACATATCAAGTACGGGAAGATTAAATATGAAAGTGTTCATTTGAAATAGGTGTGCAAAGAAGAAGGGGCTTCAGTATTACCCTGAAGACAAGGAAACGCAGAGATAAAAAGATAAAAACTGAGGCACCAGAGGCCGATGTGCACCAGATCTTTCACTTCTCATTTTAAAACTTTCTGTCTATTTATTTTTACCCTGCACCTGATTTTTTCAGCAGCTTCTCTTCGCGACAAGAACTCACAGTTCATTTAGATAATAAATGTTAACAGTTAGAAATAACCGTCAATCCCTAAACCCTAAAAACATCAAGTGAAAGCCTCAATACCAGCAGCAATGTCTTTATTAAGGGTATAAAACCAAACGTTTTCTGTTTTGCTAATTTCATTTAAAGAGAAAATGTTCTCTTGGCCTATAAATACACAGTTTTCCTCATCGAGACAGAGAGCAGCTCAGAATGAAAATAACACACCCCAGATAACACATCAACCTAAGTGATTGTTACAAAATCAAGTAAAAAGGTCATCAGACCATGTTCTTAATAAAGTCACTGCAAGAATCATCCTTACAGGAGTGGGTGATTCATTTAATCGATACATTTGCAGCGGTCTCTTGCAGGAATGAGTGCCTCGTAAGTCGTTCTCAGTGGAAAACAAATAAACAGGTGCACCAATTCTCTGACCTAAAAGTGACCCACATCACAACTTAGCTTCAGACGACAGGCTTTGAAGTTCTTTTTACTGATATTTGGACATCTTGCCCCAGATTGGACAACAGCAATGCAACTGATTTGCAGTGTGGATGTTTTATCTCCACAAATAACACAAGTCTGGAGGAACTCCTGCCATGTGGTGAAGTTGCCAATGCTAGTGGTTGCTAAGGCTAACGAGACAAGATGTTATCTGCTGATCCCTGGATGTTAAAACAACAACAGCATCTGAATCAAGATGGGTGAGCCCATGAACCAGTCGCGGCTGGTGAACTTTTTTTATGGCAGGTTGCATTTTAACAGTTGTGCCAAGAGATTTACATGCCCTATTGTTGGAAGGTGCATATGAGTAACAAGCTCACTTTTTTTATGTTAACCCAATAACAGCTGCTATGCCAACATGATGGGCAGAACAATACGCTAACAGCTACCACCCTGACAGAGCACTGGAAGCAGCAATTACAGTAAACTTCTTTACTGAAACACTGAACGGCACTGCGGTCCCTTTCCTCAAAATGGAACTGCTACTCACAGTGCTAAATTAACACCAGCCATAAATATCACTATCAGAACATTAAACAACAATCAACACATCCTTAGTAAGAGATCCCCAACAAAACACATGAAAACACATCAAAATAGAACAAAACACCCACAATGCACCTTTCATGCTGCCTGTTCCACAGTGGGCAGAGTCACTACACAGCATACTACAAGCAGCAAAGTTGGTCAAAAAACATGCTTAATATTCACTAATATATGCCAACTGAGAAGCAAAACGAACTAAGCTAATTTCATGAAGTCAAACGCTTAAATTCAGTCTTACCTTTGCTGGTTTATGGTCTTAATAATCTGTATTATAGTACAAAAATCCACCTTTTAACCTGCTGGAGAGTGTTTATAAGCCTCTAATGCCACATTCCACCATTTTCCAGTTCTTCATAATAAAAATAAAAAACTCCAAGAGATGTACTCAGCTGTGCCACTACAACAAAGGACAGAGAACTGTGGAGAATTTCCAGTTCTGTCCTGACCTGAGCTGAGACTCTGCCCTGCTGGCGTTCTGTGCATGTGTTCGCAGTTGCAATACCTTAGTGTTTAAAAGCACTTCTATTAATTGTATTGGAGGGTGATCCAGTGTGCACGCGCCAGATACAGTGTCAGTCTGTGGTAAAGATTGCTGTGCCCAAAAGAACAGGACGATTTGGTCGTGGTAAAAGTGAGAAATAGCATTACTACATAAAATAAATGCAGAGTTTACACAGCACTGTGCATAGTCTGTGTGATGCATGTTCAGTGTGAAAACTCAGAGTGAACAATCATAATCAGTCGCCCACATCTTTAACAAGATTGTTATTGCCAGACAGATGTTTGTGAGTTGATTCTATGAGAAATGTCAAGGCCAGCGTCTATTTAATCTTTCATCGCATGTAGGATATTATCAGGATTTGATGATACCGATCTCACACAGATTGACATCTAAGTCCTTTACGGCTTTTGAGAAAATCCTGTATATGTTCTAACCTTAAGATTCAAGTGGTTTTGCAGCATGTTTACTGTGCTGCTGCTGTTTTCTCTCGTGACTTTCCAGTGCCTCCTCGATTTGTTGTGCAGCCCAACAACCAGGATGGGATCTATGGAAAAGCAGCAATCCTGAACTGTTCTGTTGATGGATACCCTCCTCCTAAAGTCATGTGGAAGCATGCCAGGGGTGCATTAGGTACCATCTTTCATACTTTATCTAAGCTTGCATGTGTCATGTGACTTTGTCAGCATTTTTCTCCTCACACTTTGGTCCATACAGCCCAAAGTAAACTATCCTCAAATGTCCCGTTTCTGTCTCTGTCCTTCTGTCCAGCGGGCATCGGGAACCCTCAGCAGTACCACCCAGTGCCTCTGACAGGTCGCATTCAGATCATGAACAACGGCTCGCTGCTCATCCGACACGTTTTGGAAGAGGATCGCGGCTTCTACCTCTGTCAGGCCTCCAACGGGGTGGGCTCAGACATCAGCAAGAGCATGGTCCTAACGGTTAAAAGTGAGTACACAAACACACACCAACACACACTGACTTCTTCTGCTTTATCATCCTTCATGTGCTTACTCTCACTAAATGTATCAAACCAGTGAAGCAGCTCGCAGCGCTCTCCCTGTGGACATGAACACACACACACACACACACACACACACACACACACACACACACACACACACACACACACACACACACACACACACACACACACAACGTATATAGATAAATTAGTGGAGTAAAGGTGACCATGATCATAAGCGAAAACCCACAAAGAAGCAGCAAGAGTGGGAGGGGAGACTGTGTTCGTGCACCTGTGATAGGCAGCGAGAAGGCAGCTGAGCGATTGATCTTTCGACTCCAGGGAGCTCCTCTTGACACAATCAAAAAGACTTTGAGCTTGATCATTATCTGCAATCGATCGCTCTATCCCGCTCTGCCTGTCAATAACACCTCAGGTAAAGCCATAAAAATGAAATGGAAAATACATAAATACAAAACACAAAGATTATCTGTTTCAAACAAAACAATATGTGAGGCCAAGGAATTATGTAGCGTGTGCTATGTTGATCTTACGGTTCAGCTGTAATCACAAGAGAGAAGTCAAGTTTAATATCTCACAGCTTTTGACACTAGTGCACACAAACCCCACATAACAATGTGTGCGTAACGGTGTCTATTGCTCTCACCGTGCCTTTCCTTTCACAGTGTCGCTTCTCTCTGGTTCACTCCCCTCTTCCTCCTTCACGTGTTAGTGTTATTGATTGAACCGTTCCTCCCCTCTGCCTCCGTCAATTCTGTCTGTTTCGGTCAGCGGAGAAGAAGGAAAAGCGGAAAGGAGGGAGGGTGAGATGAATAAGTGATGAAAACAAAACAGCACAACCCTCCTCAGATCAATAACGAGTGTGTGTGTGTGTGCGTGCGTGTGTGTGTGTGTGTGTGTGTGTGTGTGTGTGTGTGTGTGTGCGCGCGTTGGACTGAGAAGATTAAGTGTGTGTGAGGGGGCTTGTGTATAAAGTGTACACAGACACGGAGTGTATTGTTTTTGCCTCTTCATTTACCTACACCCTAATGTTAACTATTGGAGAATGAGAAAGGAGGTTTATTGACTTTACCTCATTGACCACAGCTCTTCATTACTCTAATGCAATGGAACTCAGCCACTCTGAGCTCCTCCTTCTTTAACTGCCAGCTGTCCTCCCCTTCTCCTTCCTGCTCATTCCCTTCTTTGTTCTTTTCAGGTAAATCTGAATTATTATTCACTTATGCTGTTGTTTTCTCTCACTTTTTTAATCTGCCTCCATCATTAAACATCTTTTTTACCAATATATTTACCATATTTCCTTCTTTTTAGTCCCAGCGATGATCACCAGTCACCCCAACACAACCATGGCCAAGAAGGGTCACGTGAAGGAGCTGAACTGCACAGCCAGGGGAGAATGGCCCATCATCATCCGTTGGGAAAGAGGCGACACTGTTATCGACCCTGATCGCAACCCCAGATACTCCATAACTACAAGCCCCAATGAGAAGACAGACGAGGTGCTGTCAACACTCAAGGTAAAAAATCGTTTTGTGGAACTTCTTGTTGATTGAATCAGACAGCAGTGGGTTTGTGATCGGTCATTTATTAATGGTTGGCTTTCAGTTTTACGTCATTTCTTTACTTTTTGAGTAATTCTTTGCCTCTTTCTTGTTCTCATCACACTATTCTGCTTTGGTTGCCTGAGGTTTATGAAAGAGAGAAAGATAATGAAGAAACCTGATCACACAGTACAGTAACAGCAGCTAAAGGGGACAGCATGTGTTGTTTTCTCAATATCAGCAGTAATCCATCAAATTACCAATTTCACCGTGGACAACCCAGTTTTTTTAAAGAAGGTATAAACCATCCTATTTGCTTTCCAATGCTACTGGATAACAAACAACGTGACGTCCTCATTACTATCGATGTCAGTCAACGAGGCAGTCCATTATACTCCATCAAAGACGATGAAAATACCTCTATCTGCTTTTGACTGAAAGAGCGCTACTGAGTGCTGTGATTGGCCCACCAAACCAATAGAACGCTATGAATGGACCGCCACGTGGTCGTGGCCATCTTTACTGCTGAGTTGCAGTAATATCCCAACTACCTGGCTGATTGAGTGCTGTGATTGGCCCACCAAACCAATAGAGCGCTGTGATGAAACTGCTAGGGAGCTAGGGATGTCAGTCAATGGGGCAGTCCACCATTAAATTGTGGAACGACTACATAAAACATTAAAAGAAAAACATAAAACATTGTTTTTCTAAACAAACGCTCTGTGATTGGTCAGTCTCAATACTGACTGGGCTTGCAGAGGTTCCAATGGAGGATGCCTAGACCGACATGCAGAGCTAAATTGTTTTGCTTTGGCAAATGACGTTCTAGATTCTAGCCTATTGTAATGTTGTTTTAGTGTAACAATTTCATTTTATTTCATTCATTTCATTTATTTTTTCAATCCAAGCATTTACCATCTATGTGACAAACCTCATCCAAAATATGTGCATGTTTTGAATAATGAACATAGTATTTAATGCCTGAAATGGAGTGGGAAGAAAAAGACTTATTTAATCCCACCCCCATTTCTGCAGAACATTTTCTGAATGCATCACTGCTATTTACATAATAGGTGTATAATAGTTAATAGTTCACATAATAATTAGTTCACATAATAATAGTTCACCTCCTCTTGCCTAATATGGGTTAAGCTGACATAAATTAAGTGTTGTATTTTTACAGTACCAATACATACTCCAGATTAACCAAAGTGACATGATTATGTTGAGTACAACGTTGAATACCAACAATGATAACAAATAAAATCAGTAATGGTTACAGATGACAATACCAGCTATGGTGAAACTGACAATATACATAACTGTGATACAGTACTTAATAAACAAATAAGATAATAAATAACAAGAGCCACTCAAAACACAAATAACACATTCTAGTACACATTCAAGACCATCCCTCTAGGTATATCGAGACATGATCTTTTGTTTATACAACTGTTTAAATTAACAAATATTTTGGCATTGCTTGTAGTGTGTGCCCAGGTTATTCCACATTTTCCTGCCGTGTACTGACACAACAGCTTTTATGGGAAGTTCTGACTTTGAGGATTTAAAAATATCCTCATCCTCTGAAATTATATCTGCTTTCTCAAATGGTAAAGCATTGTTGTACATTTTCTGGCATTTGTTGTACATTTTATATAGGATCAAAATTGTATTATAATCTACAAATTCAGGAAATGTAACCAGTTTGGGCTGGATTAACAAGCAATGGGTATAATCTAAAAACTTAACCATGTGGATGATCCGCACAGCTTGTTTCTGCATTATTAATAATGAATTTGTTTGGTTAGGGAAAGGTTCGATAGGTATTTCCCCATACTTCAACACAAATGTGAAGTGTGGGTATAGTATAGAGAACGGAGTGCATTTTCTGTTTAAGATTGAGAGGCCTTTGGAAATTTTTTGTTTTAATGCATCTGACATGGGATTCCAAGTCAGGTTATTATCAATTATAATTCCCAGGAATTTATTTTCATTTATTTAATGTGATCTGCCTCCCAGATTGAAGATGGAAGCTGGTTCCACAAGAGAGGACCCTGAGAATTGACAGCTCTGCCTCAAGTCACATGTTAAATCTATTTTTGGCAAAATATTAGCCTTGTGAATTGAAATAGTGAAATTTTTGCATGCATGATGTGATACTTTCACAATGTAGACATAAAGCATAGAGTTTGAGTTATTTGCCACAATTTTGTTTAGATCTATATTTTCCACAGCATTCCAGATGAACAGAAATCATGTTTTCTAAAAGCTCATTACTGAGAAATAGCTCTGCTAATACATTACAGATTAAATCTTTGGTATTTTATTATTGAAAATGCATGAATTATGCTAAAATCTTCTGGTAAACAAACAGATGAGCAGATAAGTGGCAAATTGCCCAACAAAGGTGAATGTTGGCACCAGTGACATCTTACTTTAGCTCAAATCTTTCACTATTCAACTTGTGTCACAGAGCACAGATTCTCCTGCCAAACAGCCATGGAGGAGGAAAAAAGCAATCTTTAAAGCATCAGTGAGCTTTGCTTTTGTTCTCTTTGTCAGCACAGTGATTGAGCTGTTTGTGTCTACTTTCTACCTTTCTTCTTGCAGCTCAAGCCAGCAGAGCGTGAGGATTCAGTCTTCTTTTCCTGTCACGCCATCAACTCTTATGGAGAAGGACGAGGCCTTATCCAGCTCACTGTGCAAGGTAGCCATTCATGTCCAAAACCATCTTCCATACAGTGCCCTCTTTAAATCAAGAAACGCAACATCTTCCGAAGTTGTTCCTCGGCTTTTCTTTGTCTCTTTTTCCACCCAACTTGTCTCTCCCAACTCCTCAGAGCCTCCAGACCCTCCAGAGCTGGAGGTGCGAGAAGTCAAAGATCGTAGCATGAATCTCAGGTGGACTCAGAGGTTTGATGGAAACAGCGCCATTACCTCCTACGATATTGAATATAAAAACAAAACAGGTAAGTTTTCTAAAGCTGGTGGTTCCAGTTTTCTTTTCAACGTCTTGGATATTTACTGTCACTGTTAAAATACACAAAATGCCAAATTTCTTTTTTTTTCAAGTGCATGACTTAAAAACAACAACATTCATTATTTTCTGTGTTGCCAGATTCGTGGGAGCTGAAGCATGCCACTAGAAACATCTCTCCCACAAACAATCAGGCCAACATCGTGGATCTTCACCCAGCCTCCGTTTACAGCATCCGGATGTACTCCTACAACGACATAGGCAAGAGTGAGGCCAGTAAAGAACTCACTATCAGCACAGAGGAAGCACGTAAGTTTCATTTCTGTCTTAATTACGGTAAAGGCTATAAACCATCTCCAAGCAGCTAGATGTTCCTGTGACTACAGTTGCATGTATTATTCAGAAATTTAAGATCCATTGGACTGTAGCCAACCTCTCTGGACGTGGCTGCAGGAGGAAAACTGATGACAAATCAAAAAGAAGGATAATTCAAATGGTAACAAAAGAGCTCAGATAATTTTCTAAAGAGATCCAAGGTAAAATTCAAGCTCAATGAGAATTAGTTTCAAATTGCATCATCCGTCGTTGTTTGAGCCAAAGTGGACCAAGGAGGACACCATTGTTAAAACAAATCCTAAAACGCCTGACTGGAATACGCGTAACTACTCGTTGACAAACCACAAAGCTTCTGCGAGAATGTCCTGTGGACAAATGAGACAAAAATAGAACTTTATACAAAGGTACATCAGCTCTATATTTACAGACAGAAAAAATGAAGCAGATCAAGAAAAGAACACCATCCCTACTGTGAAACATGGAGGAGGCTCTGTTATGGTCTGGGACACAGGGTGTCTTCAATATGTGCAGGGTACGATGAAATCTCAAGACTATCAAGGAATTCTAGAGAGAAATGTGCCGGCCAGTGTCAGAAAGCTTGGTCTCAGTCTCAGGTCATGGGTCTTGTAATGCGACGATGACCCAAAACACACAGCTAAACACACCCAAGAATTGCCTTCCATGAGCCCTGACCTCAATCCTATTGTGTCCTATCATTTATGTTCCAGTGTTTGTTGGACATCTGTAAAGCTCATGCTTGTGTCTCTTTACAGAACCTGATGGTCCCCCAATGGATGTGACCCTTCAGGCTGTGACCTCTCAGAGTATCCGAGTCACATGGAAGGTACATTTTTATGAGCGTTTGTCACACTTTCAGCTTTCTTTTTTATACGTTCAGTGTGTGAAAATAATTAAATTATTACACATTAAAGAAAGAGTTTAATGCTCAGTGTTTGTATGTTTGAGACCTTTTCAAATTAACAAAGTTTTTGTTCACCGCTCACTTAGTCACAATGAAAGATCTTATTTTTTGAGAATAAACAGTTTCTATTGGTTAAACTTTTAGGAAACCCCTCAGCAAATTCATGCAAAAGACAAACAACAGAGTTTACCCTGAAAAAGGTCAAACAGCTCAAATCAAATTCATTATCAGTCAACTGCACCAGTTCCTGTGAAGCCCTAACTTGTTTAAGATGCTGAAAGCCAGGTGTGAATAGTTAGGGTTTCTATTCTGTTCTCCGTTGGAAGGCTCCGAGGAAAGAGCTACAGAACGGTGTGATCCGGGGTTACCAGATTGGTTACAGAGAGAATGGCCCAGGAAGTAACGGCCAGTACAGCATCGTTGAGATGAAGGCCACTGGAGACAGTGAGGTCTACACTCTCGACAACCTCAAGAAGTTTGCTCAATACGGCGTGGTTGTCCAGGCTTTTAATCGAGCAGGAACCGGGCCGTCAAGCTCAGAGATCAATGCTACAACACTGGAAGATGGTAAGGATGAATGGATCTTTACCTGTTCTGTTCATTTTGCTTATTTTATTTTAAACCAGCGTTTGTGTCAGAATAAAAATGACAACAAAAGCATCAAGAAGACCTTAAACGTAAACCATCAGTCTGATAATATCTCCACTTTGTCTTCTTTAATTCTGATCATTTACTCTTTTATCAGCTGGGTTGTTCTTTTTGCATTCCCACTGTCTGATCTCTGTCAGATTACTCCATGCTTTGTAACGCACAATTACTACGTTCTCACTGTTCTCTGAATGATGATGGGGATCCAAATGCTTCTTATTCTTACCAAGCACACAAACTGTCTCATTCACAACAGGGCAGAAAACTAGAGAGGCTTCCATGTTGCTGGAATGTTGAGACATAAGAACACCACAGAAATTGAATGGGTGAAATAATAAATGCAACAGATTAGCACAATGTTTGAGAACTTCTAAACCATATCTAGCATTTAGTAAGATACAATATTAAAACATCTCTCTCTCTCTCTCTCTCTCTCTCTCTCTCTCTCTCTCTCTCTCACTCATTCATATTGATCCAATGTTGAACAAATTGATTTTTTTCCTGTTATGAAAAAAATTAATTAAAGTCTACTGAGAATCTGAGATAACTGTAAACATGTTCTGTAGTGAAGGAACTTTAGATATTAACTTTGAAACCAAAATGGAACAACAAACACACAGGCTTGTTAGAGAGACACACATGCAGGCAGGTGGATAGTATAGGTAGATAGATAGGTAGATAGATAGATAGATAGATAGATAGATAGATAGATAGATAGATAGATAGATAGATAGATAGATAGATAGATAGATAGATAGATAGATAGATAGATAGATAGATAGATAGATAGATAGATAGATAGATAGATAGATAGATAGATAGATAGATAGATAGATAGATAGATAGATAGATAGATAGATAGATAGATAGATAGATAGATAGATAGATAGATAGATAGATAGATAGATAGATAGATAGATAGATAGATAGATAGATAGATAGATAGATAGATAGATAGATAGATAGATAGATGGATAGATAGATATAGAGACAGACAGACAGATGTGTCACATGGCTTAGCACCATTGGTCCACGAGAGACAGTCCAGCCTTTTCCTGTGGTTGTCGCCGTGGCGACAGTGATTCTGATGGCCATTATGATAATAGTGATAACAACAAGCATACTAAAATAATTATAATTAGCTTGTCTCTCTGTCCGTCTGCCTCTCTTTCCCTCTCCTGGCTTCCTGCTGTAATTATCCACAGCTGAGAGCATTGTCTCTCCCTCTCTTCATCTTTCTCTGCCTTTCCTTTGCTCCTTTTTTACCTCCTCCCATTGATATCTGCCAATCACATCCATCTGATTCTCCTTATAGCTTTTGTCTCACATGGCCTTCCATGTTCAATCTTTCTTTAAAACTATCAAGTTTTTCTATTTTCTTTTTACGTGGACTTATCCATTCATTTATGTACCCCCCCCCCCCTCCATCTTAATATTTGACTATTTTTATTTTTTATCATTATTTTGTGTCAGATTCTAAGGGTTAATAATTCAAACCCCCTGCTTTCATTTTCTGATCCTCCTCTTTTTCTCTCCCTTCATCCATCCTCCCCCCTACTCCTCTTCTCTTCGCCAGCTGCAGAGAAACACTCTGGTGGACTTGGCCCAGTCTCTCTCTTTCATTGCGCGCTGTCTTTCAGTCAGCTCTCTTCCTGTCTTCCTGCCCTCACTTCTCTCACAAGTTGACTTCTGTTCGTCTTTAACAGCAGGCGTTTTCAGAGCTTGAATGAGTCGTGGTCAGTGGCAGTCAACAGCACAGACACCTGGGTTGATAGAGACAGAGAGAGACTTGTTTACACAAAGAGAAATGATCCTATACATCAATGTAGAGACATGACATGAGGGATTTTTCTGCCACTGGCCGTTTGAGGCTTGATGCGAATGAAAATTTTAACACTTTTTTCATTCAAAATTCTAAATTTGATCACATGTTACTGTAAAAGAGCTTTTATTGATGTAATTCTTAATATATTTTTACAATAATACCACAAACCGTGACACATGTTTGTTTCATGAATGCATTTATGTAGCGTGAGATTTTCTGTCAGTGATTTGCAGCTTGTATTGGTTTTCTCCCACATTCCTAACACATGTATGCAAATAATTCAAATATGTTCTATTGAAAGGTCATCAACAATTAAAATATTTGGACAAAAAACCTCTAATTCTGTCTAAAATTGCAAGCTAGGCCTTGGGCCAACACCGAAATAGGTTGCTGCCATCTTAAACAAAATCTCCACATATTTATGATACTTCATACAAACGCATTTATAATAATATTTTTGCTTCCATCAGTTGCATAAATGATATTCCTGCTGAAAATGCCCCAGGCTGCAATGGAAGTGCTACAGCTGGCCACTGCTGCGGTTATTGCCTGATAACCATACAAATAACTGCATAATGCAACATGTATGTAAATAATTAGGGGATTGGGTTAGCATGCATGAACTGCTTTTATACTTTTAGCTTTTATTGTCTTGTCTATATTATCAGTCTGAAACAGCTGCATCAATCTGAGGTTGTGTTGTGTTAATAAAATAATAAAAAAATGTTCATAACTTTTATACAGAAAGCAAAAAATAAATAAAACTAAACTATAATTTCAGCGTTTTCAAGCATGTTTCTTTTTTAAAGGTTATAAATTGTTATCTAACCTGTTTTACAGAGTTCACGGAAGGGCCTCAGCTTGAAGAAATGAAGTGTGTGTCTATTAGCTCATCTGAGTCCAGCTGTAGATCACTGCCATCCTAAAACAAGCTTTATTTTTCTAAGTTGTTCCTGTGAACATTCCTTAATAAACTCCTTAATAAAGTTCCTACTAGTCTTGTTACAATGCTTGTGATATTTATGATTAATTACACCTTTGGAATCCATAAAATATTTGGTAACACTTTAGTTTAGGGAACACAAAGTAACCATTAATTAGTTGCCAATTAATATGCATATTAGTGGATTACTAAGTCTGAACTAGTCATTATTAAGCACTTATTAACAGGTTATTACTAATGTTCTAATTCTAATATTAACAGGCCATAAATTAAGAGTTTAATCAAATAAGCCATTTATAATGGTTTGTTAACTGAAAGTAAATGGTTTGTTGCTAATTAACCCACATGCGAATTAGCTCAAATCAATATGTGGCTTTTAACAAAGTAATTCAAGGGGAACATATGCTTGCCTTTAAGTGGTTAGTTAATACTAAACTACTAGTAATTAGTTATGAACAAAATCTGACTTTGGAACAAGGAACAGATTCTTGCTTACAAGTGGTTAATTGATTGTTGTTTAGGCTCTATTAACATGGAGTTTGGTGTTTATTTACAAAATTCCACAATATAATATTTTAGTTATTATTGATTTGAGCTCATTAGCATGTGCATTAATCAGCATCAAACCATTTACTTTCAGTTAACAAACCATTATGAATGGCTCATTTTGATAAAACTCTTAATTTATGGCCTGTTAATATTACAATTTCAGCATTGGTAATAAGCACCTAATAATAGCTTAATAATGACCAATTCAGACTTAGTAGTCCACTAATATGCATATTAATTGGCAACTAATTATTGGTTAATTTGAGTTCCCTAAACTAAAGTGTTACCAAATATTCATATAAATAAAGATTGATGTTTCAGCACCAATACTGCTCTATAAAACAGGGGTAAGCTGTTTATTATCATGGTTAACTTTGGTTTCACTGGTGAATGCAGGTGGGTTCACGTGGTTCTAGTTTGAATCTTAAAGGATTCTCAAACCTAACAACAGTAACAGGTTCTATTTTATGTAATTGAACGTTTGAAAGCGGTGATAAATTTGAGACTTTTTTTCCCAGTTCACACATGCATAAAATCCACATGGGCAAGCCCACACCTGCAGAAAATTTCACAAATAGTAAAATGTTTTTGTAAACAAATTTTCGCTTTTACTTTTTCTCTTGTGTGGTTTTAGTTCCTAGCCAGCCTCCTCAGAACGTTCGAGCCATCTCTGTAACATCAGATGAGGCGGTGATCACCTGGGCTGAGCCTCCCAGAATAACCCTCCATGGGGTACTGAAGGGATACCGCGTTGTGTTTTGGGCAGTCTTCCCAGATGGAGGTGTGTTTTTTAATGTTTTTTTTTTATTTATTTTTTTTTGTAACTGAAATAATCAGATCCTCAGTTTCACCTTGTTTTTTTTTCTATCTCAGAGTGGAGTGAGATGCAAAACATCACAACGAGCAAAGAGCAGGTGGAGCTTAAAGGCCTGGAGAAGTTTACTAACTACAGCATCCAGGTGCTGGCCTTCACCCAGGCGGGGGATGGCGTCCGGAGCAACGTCCTGTACATCCAAACTCGAGAAGACTGTAAGTCCATATTCAAGTCGCTGCATCCATGCAGATACACCAAGTCATTAAATGACCCACACTAATATGTCATTTGGCTTTGACTCCATGTTTGGGGAAGCTTCTTGGGGGTTTCCTCTTGGTTTAGGCAGCAGTGTGGGAGGCAGAGAGCCAGCGGGTGTAGAGGGGGACTTTGTAAGGCTGAGGTTGCTGATTAACAACCTCTTTGTGCTCTGATGTGCCATTACCAGTGCTAATGAGAATTAAAAAGCCAAAAAGTGTGTGAGTGTGTGTGTGTGTGTGTGTGTGTGTGTGTGTGTGTGTGTGTGTGTGTGTGCAGTTTAGAACCCTGAGGGTGTCAGTCTGTGTGTGTGAATATGTGGAAGTGTGTGTATGTGAGGGGGGGAGTTGAGTCTCTTTTGCATGTGAGCATCTCTTTGCATTGGTGTGCGTGTACGACTCCGTGTGTGCACGTGCATAATTGTTTGTGTGCAAGTTGATCTCACAAGCGAGCAAAAGGAAAGGGATTAATTCTTTGTGGCTTAGAGAGAATTAATTTTGTGCTTACACTGGTGGGCTGTGGATTACATCCATATCCACCTCCCTTCTCCTTCCCTGAGGCCAGGCAGGCGTCTCGAGGAGGAGAAAATGAGGGAGCGCAAAAGAGAGGTGGGAGCAGCAGATTCTAAGAAGTGCCATTTCAGAAAAGGCCTTTATTCTCTCCTCCTCATCGTATCGTCTTTTTATGAGCTGCATGGCCTCAGTGCAATATCTCTTCAGACGAGTGTGTTTTCTTACGCTTTGAGTGTGTGTCTGTCTGAGTCTGTCTTTTAACCCCTGATACGGGTTGACACCGTGTCCAGGGGCAACCTCTTCACAAACGTTAACTGTCTCTCTCGCTCTAACCCTTCCCTGTGCCCTTGGTTCTGTCTGTGGCAAATGGAAAAGTGTTTGCAGTGAGTTTGTGTAAACAGCAGTTCTCAGCCTGCCATTTTACACTGCTGTCTCTGATGTGCAAACACATGAGACAGAAAGCATCTGATTTATGATAAATGACCTGCACTTATAGCACCTTTCAGGGTCAGAGGACTCCAAAGGGCTTTACACTAAAGTGTATACATTTATTACCACAGATGTTCATTGTATAGGCCTGTTTGGGCCACAACCACAACACACAGGGCAAGAGTTTCGGGGTTCTGGGCGTGTTTTTGTGAATGTTTTTATCCCAGTAAACCAGTGATTATATTGATGCGTTTGTTCACTAGAGCCCTTTATACAAGACAAACCGTGCCCGCAAATCAGCGTAATATTATTGCAACGGTGTGTCTTATAAACGTGCCATGCTGACATGGCGATACACAAATTTAGCTGCATTCATTCTGCCTTGCATGTAGTAAAATTGCAGTAATTGTCTGTAAACAACGATTGGAAATCGTAAGTGCTGAGGGAGGTGTCACTTACAGAACCAGCTGAGATGATAAACTGGAGCGATGCAAAGCTCCAGGAGCATCTCACCGTCAGAGCTGGAGGTCAGATCACCAGAGACTGCGTAGGGACTAGAAGAAGAAGAAGTTTATTTATACAGCACTTGTCACATACGCAAGTGCTTCACAGACAAAAACAACCACAACGAACAACAGAATTACAACAAAACATTTAATAAAACAACAGCTTTACAATAAACTATCAGTTATCAAGATAAGTGGTAGGTTACTAGTGGCGACCTGGGATTATGAAAAAACAATAAACTATGAATGGTAGGAGACTAATGATGGGGAGGGATTATGGAAAAGACAGCCAAAACTAAAGCTAAGGAGACTAAAGGTGAGTTCTAACCAGTTTGGGGAGGGCGGAGGTGGCCAGTGGGGGCCAAACAAAAATTGTACATTTCTTGATGTTTGCTGACTAAAAGACCCTCACCTACCAACATTCAGCCACTGGGCTGCAAAGACTATGTCTGAATATTTTGCTTTGTTCTCTTTAAAAAATTATTTAACTTTAGTGAAAAATGCAATAGATGTAATTATATCAAGCTGTTTGAAACTTTGATGTAAACAATTCCAAATTCTACAAAAAGTACAGAATAAATTAAAAGCATGTTTACAACACCCCCAAAATCATAAAAAAAGCATTTTTGTTAATGTTTATCTTTAAATATACTGTATATAAAAAGTAAAATTTGCCATTTCTTTTTACGAACTATTTCCTAATGACACAAACTTTTCCAATTATCTCTACATAAATCTGAGAGAACGGACAGTACCATCAGTCAGTAAGAGACCTGGTCTTTGTAAACACATTGAAATGTCATAATGAAGTGTTTGCTTTTGTTTTGCACAACGTTTCAGATCCTGGACCCCCGGCTGGCATCAAAGCTGTGCCCTCTTCTGCCAGCAGTGTTGTAGTGTCGTGGTTACCCCCTCACAAGCCCAATGGAATCATCCGCAAGTACACAATCTACTGCTCCAGCCCTGGATCGGGCCAACCGGTGAGTTATTAGAGGGGGGCAGGGTGTTTCAAAATTTGTATGAGGATATGAGCAAGTCAAGGAGACGGATGACCAACTCTAAACGGCTGAGTGAAGAACATGACACGAACGCTATTTTAAACTCTAGTTATCGTCAGTTATGCATCTAATCTGCTGCCAAGATAAAAGTAATAGCAATAAGACAGCGCTGTGTTAGTGTACTTTGTGGTTCTGTGTGTGTGGTGTGTGTGTGTGTGTGTGTGTGTGTGTGTGTGTGTGTGTGTGTGTGTGTGTGTGCGCGCGCGCACGCGCATATATGTGTGTGCATGGCTGTATGTATGTGTGCACTTGAACATGTGTGTGAGGTCTAATGCTGCAGTCTCAACAAGATGTGTGTATGAAATGAGCTTCCCTCATACTGCAGTGTGTGTGCGTGCAAACTCTCCCTCCAGCCTCATTTACATATCTGCGTCTCATCACGTTGCCAGGACAACCTCATCTGTTCATCAACCAGGGTGGAAAACAAGCAGAGAGCAAGCACACTCTCTTTCACACACACGCATGCACGCACACACACACACACACACACACACACACACACACACACACACACACACCAGAAGAATAATATTCATAAACGTATCACTCCAGTGATACAGAGGTACATTCATACGCAGCAAGGAACTAATGTTTTTATGGCTGTGTGAATTCAGATCCTGCTCCCAGAAGCGCACATGTGCACAAACACACTTATTCAACATGTAGACCTTTTAAAGAAATACACACATATCTTGTTCAGAGCCTCCTTCCCTCGCAAATCACTCTTTATGTCTATGTATCTATCCATCTCTCTCTCCCCCTTCCCTCTCTCTCTCTCTCTCTCTCTCTCTCTCCCTCTCTCTCTTTCTCTCTCTCTCTCTCTCTCGCTCACTCGCTCTCTCTCTCTGAAGCCCCATGCAGAGTTTGGGATGATTACTATGTAAATTAGTGCGACTGGAGAGAGGGAAGGAGAGATGGGGGTGGGGGGTGGGGGTGTCAAACACTCCGCAAGGGGAGTACTTTTGTTCCTCTTTTCATTATCTCGCTCTATCGTTCCCCGGATCACCGCTATCTCCACGCTGGAGGAATATTTTAATATCCGTTACAGCAACACACACACACACACACGCACACAGCACACACACTTGTCACTCCTTCCTCCCAGAGATCTTCCCACCCATGCAGTACAATCATCCTTCCTTATTTCCTTCCTTCAATCTATCCTTCCCTTCATTTTTATCCAAGCTTGTAGTGGTGAGGCTAGAGACAAATGTGTAAAAAGGGCCTTTCTGTATACGTAGGAGTCAGGAGGGAAAAAACAGAGAGCGAAGAAAAAGCAAGAGGTATATTTTGAAAAGATGCAGTGAAAAGTGGGTCCTGCAGAGGACAGGAGAAAGTAACAGCAGAGGAAGAGATGCATGCATGAACAGGAAGGGAAGGAAAGAAGAGATTAAAAGAACAGCAAACTTTTTAAAACAGCCCAGTAGATTCCTTGTCAATGCGTTAAACATCCCAACCTTCATTTCATCTTTAAAAAACATGATTTTCTGTCTAATCATTGAGGTGATTTGAGACCCGGTGGAAAGTGTGAGGTGACTCCAGTGTGCAAATGGACTACATGTGTGATGCTGTTTTCTTTTTATTACTCTATTTATAGTTAAAAGCAAAGCAAAACAAAAGAAAAGTGGCCTTAGATGGATTTGTGGAAATGTGTGTGTGCATGCGTGTATGCATGTGGGCGGGTGTGCACACTGTTTCTGAAGGCTGCTGAGACACCTGAAGTGTAGGTGTAGAGTAGGAGTTAAGGGAATACTGGTATAATTGGTGGTTAGGTGAAAACTGAGTGTCAGGAAGAAAAATAAAGCTTGCTTTTTTCTGTTTGCTTTTGAGTGTGTGTGTGTGTGCTGGGGTGAGTGCGTGTGTGAGTGTTTTTGTGGGAGCGCGCGTGTGTTTTGAGGGGACAGTGAAGTGAACGCGTCTAGACAGCAGACACATGGCTGGGTTAAACACGTTGCAATTACACATCCACCTCCAGGTCATGTATGCCGCTCTGTGTGTGTGTGTGTGTGTGTGTGTGTGTGTGTGTGTGTGTGTGTGTGTGTGTGTGTGTGTGTGTGTGTGTGTGTGTGTGTGTGCGTGTATTAGAGTGGGCTTGTTTGTGTGGAACAGTTTCTTTTTTCTCTGTTTGTGTGCGTTTCCTCGCCTCCATTCCATCGCCAATGTCTGCTGTCGATATGACTGTTCATGATATTGCAGACTGACTCATCTGTTCGTTCACTGTTGTCTTCCTTTTGCATATCTCCATATGTCCTCCCTGTGGAGAAGAGAGGAGTAGAAGGATTGAGCTGTAGTACCCTTCCAGCCCAACCCCTCCCACTTCTCTATCCTTCAGCATCACTTAACTCTCCTCATCCCTCGAGCATCACATGTCCAAGCTGTTCTGGCTCGTAATCACAGAATGTGGCCCCAAACCTCCCTTCTTTAAGGCTCATCTATGTTCTTCTATCTTGTTTTTCCTCACTTTGATAAATGTAGGTCTATAATAAAACTAGGATGATGTTCCTTACATTATATTTGCCTCTAGAAAAGTTACAAAATATGGTCTTCTTATATTTTGTGACATATTTAAATACTCACCAAAGGGCATCTTTAACCCATGCAAGAATTCCTCAGTGCAAAATCTCTTCAGATGCGTGTTTTCTTACTCTAAATTAGTCATTAGGCTATCATAACAAATTTTAATTGGTTTAAATCCTCAGTAATTCTGGAAAGTTTTTATTTTCTTTGTGTGCACGCAAGCATGCGTGCACGTATTTAGACTGCTTTTTGTGTTTTTGAAGATGGTTTGTTATTCATCCAAGGACTTTTCTCAATTTAGACTGAAAAGTTTAAATTTCCAAACAAATGCAAAAATTCACTCACGGTACTCAACTGTTCTACGTCTATTTCTGCAGAGGTGAACTTAAGTCCCATGACTTGCACATGAATTTGACTTGACTTAAAGAATTTGCTAAATACTTGGAACTTGTCATGAACTTTAACGCCAACGACTGGATCCTTCAGCCTTGACCCTGTAAATACTTGATAGGACTAACAAAATCTAAATTTTACTGGAAAGTTCTGCATCAGCACTGCATTTGCTGCATGTTCCACATAAAAAAATATGTTGCGCAAATCATTCGTATTTTCAGGATCCAGTGTTTATTTAGGCAATAATTTAATTATTGTTTTTGTGGATTTACTTACTTTAAGAGCTAACTAGAGATGTGCAAGTCTTGGGACCTGACTCAAGACCTAGAGTGAAAATACTGAATTTTCTGTAACAAATTTTTTTGTGTGAGTTAAACGCTTTAAGTTTTAGGACTCTCAAGCCTTTACAGATTTACCTGGTTTTATATAAAACCAGAAGTTTTACATCTTCTTGTTTTGCTGCAAGTAGGGTCACAGTGAAGAAAAGAAAAACACACGTTAAAACCAAATTAAAATTTGTTATCACTCTGCTTGTTTCATTTACATTTTCCATTTTTGACCAGATGCCAAGTGAGTACGAAGCCAATCCAGAGTTGCTGTTCTACCGAATCACGCACCTGAACCACAGGCAGCAGTACCTGATCTGGGCTGCAGCTGTCACCACTGCAGGTCGTGGAAACTACAGTGACAAAGTCACTGTGGAGCCTGCTGCCAAAGGTCAGTCCTTTAGTAATAGTTTAACCATTTTGTGTCATTACTTTGTAATAATGTAGATTAAAGACCTTTATCGGGAATAAATGACAAAAATGTCACATCATTCTGAGTAATAACACTGTTATCAAGCTTAAAAGTAGAATTAAAACTAATTGAAAAAGGTTTGTTTTTTGCGCAACTTTAAAATAGTTCAAACATTTGCTTTATCTTGTTTCACAGTTGTGTAAAGTGGCAGTGTGTCGTTTCCTGGCACTAGGGGGCAGTACATACATACATATTGCCTTGACTGTCACTAGTTAAAAAACATTACAGTAAATGCTGTTACCTGTGGAGCAGAAAAGCTATCCATCTTCGTCTCCCCTTCCCCTGCCACACCTGGTGTGGAGTGCGGTGCCGTGGTCTGCCTGAGTGTTCATGGCTCCCGGTAGAGCCCTGCACGGGCCTAAAATCCGAGCCCGTGTCCGGCCCGGCCCGAGGGGGTGGAGCCCCAGCCTGACCCGGCCCGAAAAGGTTTTCAGGATTCTCTGGCCCGACCCGAGCCCGACTTTTTTTTAACCACCTAAATGAAAACAAAGTGAGTCAATCCTGACCAATGTGTTAAAAGACATGCACGATCCGATCAATTTGTTTTTCCCTCATTTACCGTCACGGAGATGACGGCGCACTGGCTCTGGTGGTAATCAAGTTAAATTTGATCTCTTTCCAACAATTTTCACAAGAAAACAAAACAGTCAAAAGCAGGGCTTGTGTTGACCGGACAGTTCCCGTATTTGACGGTTTATTTTGATGGAGAAAGAATAGAAAGAATTACCCCGACGCATGCAGACGAACTGACATTTTATTATACGCACATCGCAGATGTTGCTAAATCATCCAAGAAAAGATTCCCATCTGAACATCTGAGCTAGACACTGCTCAGCAGAGCTCACTGTCAGCTCATATGTGCACAGCGAGCTGAAGTTGTGGAGATTGGCTTGGAGTGCGTCGCAGAACCAGAGCGCATGTGGAAGGTTCCTCCCACTGAAGCGAGTGTTTTCCAAACCCTGTCTCTCAGAGAGACTTGTCACTTAGAAAATGTTCCCTGATTATGAAACTTTGGCTGAATAGTGCTTGTTCCTGTCTCCAATGTGACGACGCATCCAGGAGCCGTCTGAGGAGAATCCCAGAATCTCACATCTTCAGCTCAGGAAGCGCCTATGATTACGCACAAGAGTGACTCAACCCGGTCTCACAGTAAGACCGGGTTGGGCCTGTTCAGGTTTACGCAGACAATCTTTACATATAATTGACTTACAGATATAAAATTAATTCAGTAAAATATAAAGCATTTTATTAAAATATCCATTCATTATTTTACAAGCACAGAGAGCCGCATCAGATTCAGATCAGCGGGAAGATTCCTCCGACTGAATTCAGTCGGAGGAATCTTCCCGCATGCGCTCTGGTTCTGCGACGCCCTCCAAGCCCCTCTCCACATCTTCAGCGCGCTGTGTACCTTATGTAGGACACGCTGACAGTGAGCTGCGCTGAGCAGTGTCCAGCTCAGATGTTCAGATGGGAATCTTTTCTTGAGCGATTTAGCTACATCTGCGATGTGCGTAGAATAAAGTGTCAGTTCGTCTGCATGCGTCAGGGTAATTCTTTCTATTCTTTCTCCGTCAAAATGAACGGACAAATACGGGAACTGTCAGGTCAACACAAGCCCCGCTTTTAACTGTTCTGTTTTCTTGTGAAAATAGATAAAATTAAACTTGATTAACACCAGAGCCAGGCGCACTGCGCCGTTATCTCCGTCACTGTAAATGAGGGAAAAACAAAATGATCGGATCCTTTTCTGACCTTCCCCACCTACAAAGTTTAATTACAACAATCAAACGTGACAGAGCCTGGATTTGTATTCTGAACAGTCTAAACATGTTTTAAAAAGAAATGTATGACAAAAGTGGCACCTGCTCAGTAAAACCACCAACAGGGTGAAAAATATCAAAATATTGTAGGCAGAGACGGGCTACAACTTCTGGATCCATTTTATATAAATTGTTTTATTGATTATCTTTGTATGAAAGATGACTTTGACGTACACGAGCGACCGGTACTGGCTGCTGTCACCTGTTGTGAGCAGCACAGCTGCTGTGGCTCCCAGTGTTTTCTTTACTGTGGGAAATGGGTAATAATGGCTCTTTGGTGGGAACAGGTTGCCGACCCCTGGTTAAAGTGTTTCAGTTTTTTTTATGAATTCGATTAAAAATAAAGGCGCCCGGCCCGTGTCCGAGGTAATTACACAGTCGTTGGCCCGAAGCCCGGCCCGAGGGCCGTCGGGCCAGGCCGACCCGAGGGCCTAGGGATTCAGTGCAGGGCTCTAGCTCCCGGGTCAGTGGGTTTAAGATTTTTGGCGTCTCCCTGCTCACTCCCGGTGGCTGCCTGGTAAGATCTGGGTCACTGAGCTCTGCTGGGTCCCCGGTGGGGGTGGTTGTCCCTGGATCCCGGGTCGCTCGGTCCCAGGTTCGGCCGGCTGTGGGGTGGGTGGCTGTGGGTGGGCCTGTGGGCTTGCCGCTGATATCTCCTGGGACTCTGCCGGCTGCTGGTTGTGGCCCCCCGGGGCAATCCCCTGCACCTCTCGAGGGGGGCGGGGGCTTTTCTGGTCACAGTCTCCTTGGGATCCCTGTGCTCTGGGGCAGCTCCTGGATCTCTGGGACTTGGAGCTCCCTCCATCTCCAACACATCTTTGGGGGCAGATCTGTGGCCCCTCACCAAGGGCGTCAGTTTGTTTTTAGAATTGCTGGGGACAATAACCATACACTTGAATGGGGTTTAAAAATTGCTGGGGAAAATCATTAAATAGGCTAGCATATTTAAGTATTCATCAGTTTTTAATGTTTCACTCCAATATGCACAGTAGTGTATTGGCAGTTATAAAAATCCTGTTTTGTTTTTCCATCGGCACTGAAACCCCCCATTAGCCTGTAAGATAGGTGGAATCTTTACATCCATATAGCTAGCCTAGCAAAAAATATCTTGTATTATTATTATTATTGTATTATATTATATACATCCTTGTTATATTATTTGTGACTGTCAAATTAGATTTTCAGAGAAAAATACTCATCTTTATATCAGGCTCCACTCTCTGGTCAACTCCACGCTCCAACAACCTAGCTGTCTGTGAACTACCCAATTCATTGATTTTTTAAAAAGTGAAGAAGGTGAAAAGTAGGTGTCCGTCGACCATGTCGAAAAGAAACTACGCAACCGATATCAGATGGTTTTTCGGCAAGAAAAAATGTGCTGTAAGTGCATCCCTACAAAAAAGACTAAGATATCCAGTTTTATCATTTGATATTGACTTACTTAGCAGTAGATAAAAGAGGGCAATGTTTCTCTCATGCACTGGTAACAGTTAGCTAGCAGCAATAACGGTTAAAAACCATGCACTTTATGCTAGGTGACCAAACCTTTTTCCGTGGCATTTTTGCTTTTTATATGCCGTTAGGGGCATCTGGGAAGATTTCATAAACTGATAAAATGTCTAGGTTTTCATCGTTTTCAGAAGACTTCATCTTACAATACATAAATACGAAAGCACAGCCGTGATATACTCCCGACCTGCTCAAGTGGATGGTTCTGAAAGGTTGCAGTAGCCTACTAACATCCAGGTGTTGCACCTGTCACTGAGTGGTGCTGTTTAACTAATTCCAACTAGGTCCCCATCTAGCAAATGGTCCTATTATGTGAAATGACCCATCCATAACTAAAAAGTATTAGAAGGATTAAATTTTAGGTTGACGTGTGTAAATGAATAAGTCTCAGAATAAAGGTTTGGGGTGTAAAAATGACTGGGAAACCAGATTCCAACAGCGTGACCCTAACCCCCTTACATTACCTCAACCAGCCCTTCCATGGCCTTGCAAAACTGTGTTAACCTTAAATCAGATTTTGATGGCATTGATAATACAAAATAGCATTACGTTTGTTCAGTAGGAATCAGCACCCCCTAGAGTCACATGTGTCTTAGTGCAATTTGTTTTATTATATATTTGAGAAAATTTTCAGATTTTTGTCCAATATGACTGACCAATTTGTTTCAGGGTATCTTTTTTGAAACCCTTGAGTTATTTCCACAGATTTTTTTTTTTACTTTTTGACCTATTAGCCTAGCTGAAGTTATTTATATTTTCTAACCACATAGAACCGGCACACTTTAAAGTCAAAAGCTTTCTTCAAGTAAACAACACAAGTTCAGTGCTTCAGGAATGTGACTCCTTTTTGGATGCCAACTAATGGACACCCAAAGAACCTATACATTCCCAACAAAACCAAAAATAATTAAGTCAAAGTCTATGCTGCATTTGCAAATTTAAAAAAAATCAAATCACACAAGTTGTAATGTTAATTTGAATACCCATTTTCTATCAGGAACAGCATGTGACAGAGGAAAATGAAGACATGCACGAACAGGCAGCTGAGAATGCAGAGGTGAAATTCAAATCAACAGAAAATCAGATATAACCTTACAGTAAATATGAAACCAACTTTGGTATACTCTTACAGCAAGCACAATCACTGGATGAAGAAATGGAGAGTGTTGAAACAAGCTCAGATCAGATTCAGCAGGTGAGGGTTCAGGAAGCAAACATATGCAAGTTGTATCCATCTGCAGGGCTTTGCGTTGGTTCAACTTGTACAAAAATGTGGAAGAAAAACAGATTTGATTAAAACAACAGATCTACAACACTACAGTTACTACTAAAATACAAACAGAAAAGTAAGTTGTGTATATAACATCATGGCAATAGTAGACCAATTGGAGAACACTGTGTAGAATCAAAACATTTCTGAGAACTATGTAAAGAAACTAATGACAACTGAATGATTACATTATAGGTCGAGCCATCAGCTACTGATGCAGGGAAGCAGGATAACCCTCCACATGCAAACCAGGAGATCCATACAGCTGAGGGTCCAAGTTCCCCATATCAACCAGCAGCACAGCTAATTGAGCCACA